GAAACCCCAAACCTCCTGACTGCCAAGATGAGGGGGTTCCCGGATCCTCTCCCTTTTCCCCGTTGTTCTTGGTGCTTGAGATCTGAGAGTCTCAAGTTCTGATCCTGACTCGGGGACTTACGATGATGTGTCTTTTTTTACTTCTCTCTCTCCCTTTATTATTATTAGTTTTTGCTTGTTTGTTTTTGAGAGGTTTTTGTTCTAGGGCACGTGCGCTCCCCAGAAAGAGAAAGACAGAGAGACAGAAAGCGAGAAATTACCCCTCAGGGGGAATGGCCATGCCGCAATCCCTTCTCCTCCATTCTCTTCTCGGGATCTTGGGCACGCATGCACACGTACCGGGCGTGAGTTTAAGCCACCGGATCCAGGACTCGAATCACCATTGGCTCCATGGGAGTCCAGTGATATAGCCATGACGCCAACTGCTGGTCCTTTTTTATTTGGCTACTTCTGAGAGCCTCAGTTTCCCCAGCCATAAAAGGTGACCCCACCACTGCCCACTTCCTAGGGTCACTGGGAGCATTCCGTGAATTACTATGATCCTCTAAGTCCGGTATTTGAAATAGCACCTGGCACGTGGTCCCCACTGGCGCCTGACCCGCGGATTTTGTTCTAAGTTGGAATGTCAGCTTGGCAGGAGTGTGGTCAGGGCAGGGAGGCGGGGCGGGGTGGCGAGGGGAGCCCGATGACGGAAGCCCTGTAGGGCACTTAGGATACTATATATAGCGTGTGCTATTATGGCTTCCTGGTGTGGTCTGGGAAGGTCTGGGCGAGATCCCAGCGGTCTGGGCGAGGCGACTGCAATGCCTACCCGACGGGGTTCGTGTTCAAATTAATACATGTTTGAGGGCTCGCACTGTGCGTGCTCAGTAGCGGCTTGGGCTGGGGAATGACAGGCAGATAGATGACGCTTTCTAATGTCACATAGCGATGTCACTCGGTGCTCGAACGATGCGTGTTCTTGATGGGACAAAGTGGACGGGGCGGTGACAGCCCCCTCATCATCTTGCAGAATTGAAATCAGCGTCTGGTTTGGGAGTGGGGTGGCAGCCAAGATGGGGGTCACCTTACTGGCTGGAAAGTGAGGGGACTGGGGTGTTTGAAGGAGGACAGTGATGAGGAATGTGAAATAGCAAGTCCCCCCTCCTCCAGCTCAGAGTCCAACCCTAGGCAATGGGAACCGGTGACCCTTGCCCCCAGGAAGGGGGATTGGCCGGTAGAGGAGGCAGCTTTGAAGTTACCATGGCAATAGTGAAATGGCTACTTCTGTCCCCAGATTCCCTCATTCTATCCCCCCCCCACCCGGTGCTTAAGGGATTCTGGGTAGGAGTCTTGGTCCAGAGAGGTCATGGAACCGAAAAGGAACACACAGCTGCTTTCTTTCTCTCTCTCTCTCTTTCTTTCTTTCTTTCTTTATAGAGGTTTTTGCTATAGGGCGCGTGCGCTCGCCAGAAAGAGACAGACAGAGAGACAGAAAGCGAGAAATCACCCCCAGCCAGGGGGAATGGCCATGCCACAATCCTTTCTCTTCCATTCTCCTCTCGGGATCTTGGGCACACATGCCCGGTGTGAGTTTAAGCTGCCGGGTCCGGGACTCGAACCACGAGAGACTATGTGGGATCGAGCAACAGAACCATTATGCCATCTACTGGCCCTAACAGACAGCATTTGAGGACCCTGGTGGGATTAGAGAGTGACTGTAGGACAGACTGGACATGGTTATTATAATTAACCATCAATATTAATCAGGGTAATTACTTACACATTGATTAATATGGAACTTTGCTCTTTATATATATTTTTTTTCCAGCACTGTATTCTAGTATTTTCCCTATAAAAATATCTCCTTGTGGGGCTAGCAGGTGGCATAGTGGTTGGGGTGCTGGACTTGTACGTGATCAACGAGGATTCAAGTCCCTGACCAGCGCCTTGAAACTCATGCCAGTCATGTGTGCGTGCGTGCCCAAAATCCCAAGAGGAGAATGGAGGAGAAGGGATTGTGGCATGACCATGTCCCCCGGAGTAGGGGGTGGAGGTAAGGGGTGACTTCTCACTTTCTGTCTCACAGTCTCTGTCTCTTCAGTGAGCATACATGCCCTAAATCTCTTAAAGAAGTAAAAAATAGGGGGACCAGCAGTTAGCGTAATGGCTATGTCGCCGGACTCCCACGTAGTCAACTGTGGATTGCGTCCCGGACCTGGTGGCTTAAACTCATGCCAGGCGCGTGTGCGTGCATGGCTAAGATCCTGAGAGGAGAATGGAGAAGGGATTGTGGCGTGGCCATCTCCTCTGGGGGTGATTTCTCGCTTTCTGTCTCTCTGTTTCTCTCTGTCTGGCTGGCGAGTGCACGCGCCCTATAGCAAAAACCTCTCCAAAAAAAGAAGAAAAAAGAAGAAGTAAAAAATAGGGACCAGCAATTAGCATAATGGCTATGACGCTGGACTCTCATGGTAGTCAACTGCAGTTCAAATCCCAGACCTGGTGGCTTAAACTCACACTGGGCGTGTGTGCGTGTGTGCCCAAGATCCCGAGAGGAGAATGGAGGAGAAGGGATTGCGGCGTGGCCATCCTCCCTGGGGGGTGATTTCTTGCTTTCCATCTCTCTGTCTATCTCTGTCTTTCTGGTGAGCACATGCACCCTATAGCAACAACAACAAAAAAAAGAAGTAGAAAAATAGGGACCAGTAGATGGTATAATGTTTACATGTCTGAACTCCCATGTAGTTGACTGCAGTTCAAGTCCCATACCCAGGAACTTAAAACTCATGCCAGATATGTGTACGTGCGTGCCCAAGATCCCTGGAGGAGAATGGAAGAGGAGGGATTGCAGCGTGGCCATACCCCCGGGGGGTGATTTCTTGCTTTCTGTCTCTGCCTCTCTCTGGTGAGCGCACACTCCCTATAGAAAAAATCCTTAAAAAAAAAAAAAACCCTAAAGGGACCAGCAGTTAGTGTAATGGCTATGT